AATTCTCGAAAAAGACTGGAAGTCTGATCAAATATTGGGATACAAAGAAAAAGGTTCATATTACAATAGCCAGATTTCGGAAATGAATTCTTCTTTTTCTTTTCCTCGAAATGTTGAAGACTAGAAAAGGTACGGATTTGGACTCTCCTATTTCGGAATGCATTACACGACTTTTCCGTCAATGTATTTTTAGTGATGAAACCAAAACAAAAACTTCAAACAACGATGTTGCCCCCCGATGTCCTTGCTGCGCTCCATGACTTTGCGCCACAGGGTCATGTACAGTACATCAACCTACTCTCTACTGCTATAGAGCGACCGTTCATTCCTGATATCCGATTTGATCTGCGCTCCTTGTCCGAGGAACGAATCTTGGATGGTCTTCTTTGACGCCACGGGTGGTCGCCTTGGTTGGTTTGATCGCTTTGGTCGCCTTGGCCGCCTTGGTTGGCTTGGTCGGCGCCATTTTGGAAGGTGGTGGTGGTAATAAAACTGCTCTCTTGTGCTGACAGCACAAGAGAGCAGTAACTATTAAACTGTGTTATTCTCAATGTTCCCTGATATGTTACTGAACGACAATGGGATCGACCAATCCAATCCTTCAATTATCGATTGTCCAACCCCCTTCAAGTTCATGTCGTTTCACCAATAATCACGAGGGATTTTGTCGTTTCGATGTCGGATGCTACGGACATGTGTATATTCTTAAAGTAATGGAAGTGGACACCTTGTTTGTTTGGTTGGCTGAGACACGTTTATCCCTCCATATTTGAGTATTTGCATTTTTACCATGAGTAATGATCATATTGTTGATCACTTCCAAGTTATCTCGATATATTCGAGGGGGATCGATCTTTGTGGTAAACATTTTGTCTTACCCCCGTCTGTCTATGTTTGATCGATTTATTCGTTTTTTCCAGTGTATCGATGGGGATATCCTTTATACTGGTGTTTGTGAGCAGCCATTGTGTTTTTGACTCAGAAGGCCATTGTAATTCAAGATATCGCGAAATTGTGGAAAATCAATTTCTGTAGTAGTACTATAACCTATTAATATTAGTACTAAGTACTCACTCGTCTGTGTCATGGAATCCGAGGTCCCTATCGAGTCGCCGCCGTTGACCAAGGCTGCACCGCTTCAAAGCCTCCTGCCTTCGACCTGCGGAGTGCTAACATCGCTTCCTGAACTGTCCGGTCACCCCAAGAAGAGCTATGCCCTTGGATGGAACCTGGATGGGTCGTGGTTGGCGTCGGGGAGTACAGACCGATCCATCCGATTGTGGGACCCAGAAGGTATTCGAAAGCTTACCGAGATGCAAGGACACAGCGACACGGTCAATCAGCTCATGTGGAACCCCACAAGTAAGCATCTTCTTGCAAGTGCAGGAAATGACAAGAGTGTTCGCCTGTGGGACACAAAGAGCTCGAAATCGACGTCGTCCATTGCACTGTCGTCCGCTGTCATGAACGTCGCGTACTCCCACGATGGAAAATACATCGCCGCGCTCTGCACAGGCTCGACGCGAGACACTGGTTCCATCAGGTAATGCACCACCACTTGCTACGATCCTTGATCTGGACTCGATAGTCTCATCGACACCCGAAAACATAAGATTGTCACGCGCATGCCGACTCCATACGAGTTCCAGGACATGTTATTCAGCGATTCGGGCTTCCTTTTCGCCGCCGCAGGTTCAATGTCGATCGCATGCGTGGCTCATTTGCATCTAGGACACTCGGCGGGATATGGAACGCTGGAAGTTCTACAGGTCGTCCCGGACGCGAACGACCGCAAGCTGCCGCCGACGCTGGAAAACGTCCACAAGGTGCACGCCGCGCATTCGGGCAGTTGCTTTGCGATCGATCTGGCCAAGAATGGCCGGATGTTGGCGCTGGGAGGGGTCGACTCCCTCGTGAGCCTGTGGGACCTGGACGAAGTGTACTGCATGCAAACGCTCGTGACGTCGCAGTCGCGCATTCGTTTCGTCAAATTCTCCCACGACTCCAAGTTCCTCGCGTCAGGAAGCGACGACCTCGTGATCCCGATCGTCGAAGTCGCGACTGGACGGCATGCGTTCTCCATCGCGCTCCAGGAACCGCCGCAGCAAATGGCGTGGCATCCGTCCAAGCACCTGCTTGCGTACCTCGGGGACACAGCCTCCAACGAGAAGAACAAGGATCGGCAAGGCGTCATCAAGCTCGTCGCGGTCGCGCCGCCCTGATGGCCTCTGTCGCTTTGTGTTACAATCGATAAAATTGGACTTGACTATCCCCAAATTTCGACATGTGTGGTTCTCGTTGCCAACGCTACAGAGCCGCTAGAGCTCGTCGTTGCCGCTGCCGGCGGCACAGAGTTGAAGGCGATCCACGCACATGGCGGTCTGCTGGGGAGCGAGGTTGTTGTAGTAGAGACCAATGAGGTCGTCGGCGAACTCGTCCACAAACCCTTGGCACTAGGGTCCGCAGTGTCACGTCGACGATGTTGTTCTAAATCACTGGTTTACCGCGTTCTTGACAGCGACATTGACCTTGGGAGATGCGTGGGGGTCGGGCAAAGACACTTCCTTGCAGACAGATTCGAGGACTTCCAGAATGCGGCCTTCGCTGCGAGAGTACGGGATCTGTTTCTTCTCTTCGCTGATGCGGAAGACCACGTCCATCTCGTGATCATTCTCTGTTGCATTCAAGTTCATCTCAATGCGTCGCATGAATGTTTGACATAGACAACACGATGCCGGCAAGGGCGACGACGATGCTGGATCGGCAATGTCATGAGATGGGCATGTCAGATCGGTGAGGCCCAACTTCTTGAACGACCGTGAGTGATCCCACCGCCTACATCAAGATGAAGAGCATTGAGCGGGACGGCAGGAAGTTACCGCTTCACCCACGCATCAGCCATCCCAGCCATGCAGATCGCCGCAACCCAGCACAACAGCTGCATGGCCCTGGATCAAGAAATTCAAAAGTGGCGTTCGATTGGCAATACATCACCCACGTGGCATCCCGACCATGTGCAACACTTTTTCAACGGAATGCCGGCATCGCATGCCTCCATCCTCGTCAACTAGTCCTTGAGCGTGGAAGCTCCACAAGAAGTCCATTGGGACAACGATGGCATGAGCCACGTGGACGCGCGGCGGTCCCGTCTTCATCGTTCCATTTTCGACCGCTCCTTGGATTCGAGAACTTTCGCTTCCGGATAAAGATACCAAATAACCCATGCGTTAAACTCTTCATCACCGGTGCACTTGGATGCAAAACACCAGGGGCAAAGGTCCCACGGACGTAAATCTCTCTTACGTGAGCTGGATACAGCTGGGGGAATGACGTTGTGCAGATGACGACGTGGCGTGGGGGAGTACTGTTGGACTGAGTTTAACCTGATATCCGGATATTGCGATCTTGGTTTTTTCCATACAAAGTTTCGATATTTTTGACGGCCGTCGAATTGAACGTCATTTTCAAATTTGCGCGCATCGTCGGGAGCCACATGAAGGTGTTTGGGTCGTTCTGGAAGAAGGCGTTGGTGGTGGCGTCGGTGTTTGCCGCGATTGGTATGCACAATGCCGGTGCGAGTGTAGACACTTCCGCTGCTGACGTCGTGGGGAGTGGGAAGGTCGTCGATCAACTCGACGGTGCGCTCTTGAATGGCGACAAGTTTCAGTTCCAAGCAGAAGTGAGTCGTTTGATGGATATTATCATCAACTCGCTGTACAAGAGCAAGGAAATCTTCCTCCGCGAGCTCATCTCAAACGCATCGGATGCATTGGACAAGATCCGATTCCTCGCGTTGTCGGACAGCACGATGCTCGATGTCGCCAAGGAGTTGGAAATCCGCATTTCGTTCGACAAAACTGCGCACACACTCACCATCAAAGACACGGGGGTGGGTATGACCAAGGACGACTTGGTCAAGAACTTGGGGACCGTTGCCAAGTCGGGCACGGCCAACTTTGTGTCGGCAATGCAAAATGGCGCCGATGCCAACATGATTGGGCAGTTTGGGGTTGGGTTCTACTCGGTGTACCTTGTTGCGGACAAGGTCCGTGTGATTTCAAAGAACAACGACGACGACCAGTACATTTGGGAATCCAGTGCGAACGCGAGCTTCACAGTGTCGAAAGACCCCCGCGGGAACACGTTGAAGCGCGGGACTGAGATCACGCTGTTCCTCAAGAAGGATGCGCTCGAGTTTGAGGACCAAGACAAGCTGAAAAAACTTGTGACGCACTACAGTGAGTTCATCAACTTTCCCATTTACTTGCACACGTCGCGCGAAGAAACGATCGAAGTGGACGACGACGACGACGAAGAGGACGAAGAAGAAGAGGATGGTGATGCCACGGCCGCCGACGACGAAGAGAACGAGGAGCTCGAGCCCGTCGAGGAAGATGCGTCAAAGCCTGTAGAGAAGAAGACTGAAAAGAAGACGGTTTGGGACTGGCAGCGCGTGAACGAGATCAAAGCGATTTGGACGCGACCCCGCGAGGAAGTCGACGAGTCGGAGTACAACAACTTTTTCCGCGCCATTCACAAGGACGGAACGGACCCGTTGACATGGATTCACTTTGTCGCGGAGGGCGAGATCGAGTTCAAGAGCATCTTGTACATCCCGTCCAAGGCGCCCCACGATTTGTACCAAAGGTTTGACGGCAAGCGCGCCGACGTCAAGCTGTACGTGCGCAAGGTGCTCATTTCGGACCAGTTCGAGGAGTTCCTTCCCAAGTACCTCAACTTCATCGTTGGTGTCGTCGACTCGGACGACCTCCCGATCAACGTGAGCCGCGAGACCCTCCAGGAGAACAAGATTCTTCGCGTCATGCGCAAGAAGCTCGTGCGCAAAGTGCTCGAGATGCTGCGCAAACTGAGTGAAAACGACGAGTCCCACGGCGACGACGACGACGACGAAGTCGCCGAGCCTGCCGAGGACCAGCCCAAGGACAAAGCCGACAGCTCCAAGTACTTGACGTTCTGGGAAAACTACGGCAAGAACATCAAGATCGGTATCATGGACGACCACGCGAACAAGGGCAAGCTGCTCAAGCTCCTCCGCTTCAAATCGAGCAAGTCGCCAGACAAGTACATTAGCTTGAACCATTACGTGGCCAATATGAAGGACTGGCAAGACACTATCTACTACATCGCTGGCGAGAGCGTCGAAGCGGTCGAGAAGAGCCCGTTCCTCGAGACGTGCAAAGCCAAGGGCGTCGAAGTGCTGTACCTGGTCGACCCCTTGGACGAATACGTGATGCAGCACATCCCGGACTTTGACGGGAAAAAGATGCAGAGCATCACAAAGGAAGGACTCAAGTTTGGTGACGAAGACGAAAAAGTCCTCGAACGCAGACGCAAGCTGTACGCGGAACAGTTTGACGGCGTCATCACCGGCCTCAAAAACGTGTTCGGGAACAAAGTGAGCAAGGTCACAATCTCCAAAGCGACGGGAGTCGACTCGCCCGCCGTCATGGTCACGTCGCAGTGGGGCCACTCGGCCAACATGGAGCGCATCATCAAGGCGCAAACGTTTGCCAACCCGGCCGCCCAAAACCCCGCCGCACAAAAGATCATGGAGCTCAACCCTCGCCACCCGATCATCGGAAAACTACGCGACTTGTTCGCCACGGCGCCCGACGCCACGGAGACCCACGATTTGTCCTGGCTGCTCTACGACGCGGCGCTGACCAACTCTGGCTTCGCCATGGACGATGTCGACCACTTTGCGTCGCGCGTGTACCGCATCATGAAGACGACGATGGGTCTCGACTCGTTGGAGCTCGAGCCCGAGTTGAACCTGCCCCCCGAAGACGAAGTGGCGCTGGAAGACGACGCCGCCGATGACGAAGCCGTGACAGAAGCGGTGGAGACCGAGGACGAAGCAGTCGAGACACCGGATCAAGCAGGGGAAGAGGTCAAGGATGAGCTGTAGGACAGTGTGTATATCGATCGCAATCGACTTGATTTTTGGGAAGCACAACGGAGTAAAGTACAAGATATTGATTAGACAGTTTTCTTCGCGACGGGCGTCTTCTTGAGGAAGTACCGTTCGATGAAGAACTTGAGGAAGAGCGCAAAGTACGACGAGTACATGATGATGGCCCATTTGAGGTTCTCACGGTCCAAGAGGCATGGGGCGCCGCTGCGAATGTAGTACACGCCGGCAACAGATACGGCGACACCGACCACCATTTGAGCGAGTTGAATCACCGTCACAAACTTGGCCCACGGCGCACGAATGCCAATGGCAGCGAGGAAGTAGTAAAAGTACATGACGGCGTGCACGGTGTAGTTCATCGCGACGAAGAACAAGCCCATGGGAGACAAGTTGGCGTACGCGTGCCAGCAAAACATCAAGACCGTAATGTGGTGGTACCAGTGCAGGAAGATAAGCGGCTTCTTGCGCAGCACGATGAACATGGTGTCAATCAATTCAGGGATCTTGGAAAAGATGAACAGAGTGACCCACAGACCGACAGGGCCGCGACCGTAGTGGGGGAACGCTTCCGAGCACACGTTAAAGTACACGCCGCGAGTGACGAGCGAGTTGAGGAGGAATGGAACGGTACGAATGCTACCAATGGCACTAAAGAGCGCGAGGCCGAAATTCCACGCGGCAAGGGCGTTGTTGAGGCCGAACGGAGCAAAGTTCTTCATCACTTCGCGGCCTCCAAGGCACAACACGCAGTAGATCGCACACAGGGCAATAATGTGGGTCATTGTGTCCTTGCAGAAGCCATACTCCCACGTGAATTCGTACGTGTTCTCCCATTCGAAGGGGTAGATCACCGACAGCGCGGGGTACTGTTCCAACAGCGTCGGCATCGTGTCTCGGGAAGGCGGCAAATTCCTGAATGAAGCGGCAGATCGAGCCACGAGGATGGCGCTTCTGATTGGTCAAGGGCAGAGGATGGGGTAGGGGAATCGCCGACATCCAGCCAATCCCATCGCTCTAGTGGACGATGATGTCACCCAGAGGTGTACGACGCGATGATGTCATCCAAGATCGACGCCGACCGGACGCGGTCCGGACGTGAAGGCCAAGGAGGTACCACGACGCATGCCTCACGGTTCGTTGAGCTCACGGACGGATTGGTGCGTCAAGCGCTGTCCCCGGCGCGTTGTTGTAGGACGGGAGAGAACGTTCCGTGTTTCGATTGGTGGATAGCGTCAAATTTATACCCAATCAAACTATTTCAACGCAAATGTGACAGAGCAGGCATGACCGGATAACAAGGGATGACGTCGATGTGTCCGGATGTCAAGTGGAAGCGATCCAATCGTGTGATTTCATTGGCTGAGAAGAATTGGACATGATGTGATTTGATTGGCTGAGAAGATATGCATCTGGTGGCGAAGGATTGTCGATGGAGCTACGCGGCCTTGGCCACCTTTTTCCGCGGCACGACGGTCAGGGAGAGGTAGACGGCGACGAGGATAATGTGGCCAAGGAAGAGGAGAGTCCTCCACCCGTGGACGGAGTTTTCCCACGACAACGACACAAACGCGACTGCCAAGTAGTTGATTGTCAATGCCGTCGCGATCGTCCCGACAACGTCGTACAGGCACTTGAACGTCTTGTTGTCCACGACGTACGGGCGCAAGATGCTGCGGGCGAGGCGATTCACGGCAGTTGGTAGTGGAACTAGACGAGTCGTGGTGACGAGGTCGATACAGAGGTCGGGGTACCAGAGAGGAAAAAGAGGTAGTAACCGGGGTAAAATCCGTGCCAGATCGCCGACACAAAGTACGTCGCAAGCAGTGAGTTGTTCATGCGCTCATACACGTAACGCTGGAGCCACGCTTGAGTGCCTTGGTTCCACGCACGCGAGAGGTCCCGGATGCTCTGGCCCATTTCAAAGCCCAAAATGTCGACGTTCGACACACCATTCCATCCTTTCACGTGACCGTCTTTGGAAAACCCTTCAAAGCCAAATCCGCTCAAGACGGTGCTACCTTCTGCGACCTGTCGACGGCATGTGAACAAACGACTTCGACCAAACCTTTACCTTCCATGCGAAGTAGTACTTGCAGCGAGTGATGAGGAGCGCCATGTAGACAGCGCCCCACTGATGCACCACGGACGGAAACGTTGTGTGGAGGATCTTGTGCAGATTGAACGACGCGCCAAACGTTGCCATCGCGGCCATGCAGGTCAGACCAACGACGAGCTTGGTCAGTGCGCTGCCAAGGCAAGATTTCCACGTGCTCGTGTTCTGAAGATAGCGCTTCGTGACGGCGTCGATGTATTCTCGGTATTCAAACGCTGGACCGGCCAAAAACGTTGTAAAGCAGTACGCGTACCCGTAAAACTCGATCAACGACGGCAAAGTCGAGATCGCGAGGTGGCGGCGGGTCGCATACACCTTGGCAAGTTGCTACAAAACACGGATAACGGCGTGGCAAAACCGAGAGAGGACGTACGGGGTTGGTCGGGGCCGTGGCGAGCTTGGGGTCCGTCCCATCCGACACGTTGTACGCAAACGACGTGAGCTTGATAACGAGCAGCATTTGAGGCCCCGTGAAATCCAAACTCCATCCGAGGTAGTCCACGTAGATGCGGTACAAATGCGACGCCGACATGTATACCATGTTTAATCCAAACACGAGTTGTGGGGCATACTTGGCCGGCACGGTCGCGACGACGGCGTACGTGATGGTGGACGTGATGAACGAGTGAATCCATTGCGACCCGAGTACGAACTGGGCCATCAACACGCCCACCACAAACGAGAACCAGTGCTTGACCCCACTGGGCAGCACGCGAAACAACAGCGCGAGCGGGTACGCAGCAAACAAGGACAGACAGTAGCGCAGTTGATCCGGGGCAAACCCCACGGCTTCCGACAATGCCGCGACTTGGCCATGAAGGTACTCAAACGTAAACGGGCACAGCGCGACCGCGGCCGCGTCGACTACTTGCACGGCGGCGTCGAGCATGGGGATGTGCTGCATTTTGGTCGTTGGATTATCCACATCGTGTCTGATTGGTCCATTCTCGTGTGATGCAATTGCTTCAACAGAATGACAGGACCGCATGGACCCTCTTAGGTGCGCTTTATTTCCTTATACAAGTTCTCCCAGTCTTACGATTGTCAATGTTAGAACCGCAACGATCTCGCTGCTACGCTATGATGGATAGTTTGTGGTTGAGTCGGTGTTTGGGTGGAGGAAGAATGCGTTATTCCGTCGTGGACATCGTGGAGATGGGGTAACTACACTGATATAAGGGAAGGCCTCGCTGAAGTGCGAAGGATGCCGTCGAAGGAGTGGCGGAGCAGCGTCGCACTTAAGAAAACGACGCGGGGGTCGTCAGCACATTTGAACACCGCGTGACGAGCATGGACGCCGTGTTGTCATCCGTCGTGGCGGGGATCGACCAAGGCATGGCCGTGATCCAACCCGTCCTGCAAGACCTCAGTGTGTACGCCGAACTGCTCACGCCCCTCAAGTTCGAAGCGGCCAACGCGTACTTGGCAACTGTTGCTGCCACCGCGGGCCTTCCGTTGGATCAAGTCCGGTACGTTGGGTGCCTCTTTGGCGCGTACCCGTTTGCACTCGTGTTCTCGCTGCTCCCGTCGGCGACGCTCAAGCACATCTTCTCGCTCACCGTCGGCGTATCCCTCGCTCAGTTTGTCTTTGGCGCCTCATGGGTACACACGCTCATCATGGCGCTGTCCACGTATTTGTTGGTGGTGCTTGCCCCTGCGAAATTCGCGCCTCGTCTCGTCTTTCTGTGGAACATGCTGTACATCTCTGCGTCGCACTTGTACCGTTTGTACGTCGACTATATGGGCTGGAGCTTGGACATCACTGGCCCCCAAATGCTCCTCGTGATCAAGTTGACTGCGTTCGCATACAACTACTTTGACGGCGTCGTCGACATCAAGCGCCTCAACACCCCCACCGAGAACAAGGCCCTCGCCAACGTCTACGCTTCGCGCAAAGCCCTCAGCATTCCGCAGCTGCCGTCGCTGCTCGAGTTTTTCGCATACGTGTACTGCTTCCCGACCTTCCTTGCCGGCCCGGCCTTTGAAATCCGAGAATATTTGGACGTCGTGAACGGCGCCAAGAAGCTCGGAAGCGGCTGCACCTTGGCCGCGATCTCGAAGCTCCTCGTCGGTGTCTTCTTCATGGCGTTGATGGTCGTGTTTGGTGGCAAGTACCCGATCACGCTGCTGTACTCCAAGGAGTCGGGCGCCCTTTCCTGGTACGAACAAGTCGCCACTCTGTACATCACGCTCTTTTTCGTCAAATCCAAGTACTACTCGGCGTGGAAGATTGCAGAAGGCGCGACCGTGCTTTGCGGGTTCGGCTTTGAAGGCGTCGATGCCAAGGGCGTGTCCAAGGGCTGGAACCTCGTCAGCAACATGGACGTGTTGGGCTTTGAGCTTCCTCTCTCGTTGCGCGATGCTTCTCGCGCGTGGAACAAGGGCACGCAGAACTGGCTCGAACGGTATGTGTATTCGCGGACGGGCAACTCGCTCATGGCGACGTACTTCGTGTCTGCCTTCTGGCACGGCTTCTACCCTGGTTACTACATCTTCTTCATGAGCGTACCGCTTGCGACGAACGTCGGTCGCCTCGCTTTTAAGCGCCTGCGTCCGTGGTTCCTCAAAGAAGATGGCAAATCCGCCGGGCCGTTCAAAATCGTGTACGATATTGTCGGCGGCGTCGCGTCCGTGTTGGCGCTGCACTACCTCGTCATCCCGTTCCAGGCGCTGAGCTGGGAAAACTCTCTCCAGGCGCTCTCGAACCTCAAGTTTTCGGGCCACATCATCCTCGCCGCGCTCTACCTCCTCTTCCATCTCGTCCCAGTGCGCAAGTTGAAGGCGGCGAAGGTCGAGTAGACTGCCCAATTCGTAATATAAAATTCCACCCAATCAGAAACCAGGTTGTGTCAAATCGGCCAGTCAGAAAAATGCGAGAATATCTTTTCAGCGAATCAGGTGTACTACTCGAGATTTTACAACATGGGCTTTGGGGTTTCGCGGAGAAAATTTTTACCCAATCAGAATCGAGTTGGAACGAATGGGCCAATCATGGATTTTGATGAATCATTATTCAGCGAATCAGATGTTTCTAACGATTTTGACGAAATAAAATAATCAAACGCATGTCAAGGCTTGTACAGCGGCAGGCGCATGATGAACTCCTGTCGGCAAATCGGACACGCCTTGCACTGGGCGCTGCAACCTGTGCAGAACATGTGACCGCAAGGGACAAACGCGCAGTCGACGGCGGTCGTCGTGCAAATGACGCAGTTCCAGCTGTCGATCACGCGCTGTTTCTCTTCCAATACCTTGTACACGCGTGAGACGGCCTCCCGGCAATGATCGCTGACAAGCAAACACTTGGCCTGAAGCACCGAACACTCTTTCCTCCACTCCTCCGCCATGTCGTCTTCTGCGCGTTTCAATCGATCGTGTGCTATGAGCAGCTCATCCTTGAGCCGTCGATTCTCCTGTCGCAATTGTTCGACTTCATCGTCACGTGCTGTGTTGGAGGTACATGCCTTCATCTCTCTGTCTTCAATGACACGGTAATGTGGCACATATTCGTCCATATCACCTGGGAGGCCTTGATAATGTACCAGGTATTCGGTGGCCGTCACCTGCACAACGCGTGCCTTCCGGAGAGAGTGCCCGCGATACACTTTGACGTAGTCGTTCACGCGGAATCGGGGTGTGAGCCCGACGTCCTTCAACGACCTTCGCAGGCCACCGCTGCAGCTGTTCGTGCTCTCCGATGTCATCTTGGCTTCCAGGCGTAGCTTCTCCACTGCCTTGGCCAGATCTCCATGCTTCTGAAGCGACGTCTTGAGCAGCGGCTGCATCATCATCGTGATCCGATTTCAATGCGAAAGTGATCCACAATCGATTCGCGCGTGGCATTATCCGGATCCCGCGCTTCGTATCCGGATAGCGTTTTATTCGGCTTGATTCCTTGTTGGCGTTTTAATGTGGTGAAGTGGCCGTTTTATTGCCGCACTAAGAGCGTTAAATGTTTCACGTTCATGGTTTAAAGTTCAAAAATTCAAAATTGACGCGTTCGCGCCGGTTTTTGACAGGTCAAATACCCGGTGGTTTCCAAACACCCATTTCGAGCAAGATTGGCGGGATGCTGCCGCCGGCGCTCCAGCGGCTCGACTCGTGGCGAGTCGTCTTGGCCTCCCAGGTGAATGTGGCTGAAGGAGAGGTGTTCCATGTCATGTTGTACTCATGCGCTGTGAATGATGCGGTAGAGCCCCCGTCGGTTCGACCTGTTGACGAACCTTGTACGGCGATTCAATCTACTGGACGTGTTCCAGCAACATTGACGGTGGATCACGCAGGGCTTGCGCTTCGATGTTGTGCCATCCACGTTTGAAGAAAACCTGGACAAGAGCCTGTTCCCCACGCCAGTAAGGACGACCATCCTAAAAGCATTGACGGCATGATGAGCCAGGAGCACTACGTGATGGAGAATGCCAAACAAAAAGCAGTGGAAGTGTTCCAGCGACTCAACGCCCAAGGCACTCACGTCGATCTAGTAATTGGGTGCGATACCGTCGTGGCGCACGATGGGAAAATCCTCGAAAAGCCCAAGGTACGGCCGCTCGATGAGGCACGAGTTGATGGATCATCAGGACGAACAAGATGCATTCGCGATGCTCTCAACTCTCTCTGGTACCTCGCACGATGTGTTTTCTGGTGTTGCCGTGTGTGTCTCGTCCTCCGTCCACGTCTTTTGTGAGCGTACGTCCGTCACGTTCCGCCCGCTTGACAGCTCGACGATTCGAGGTGGTCCATGCAGTTCCGTCCGCAGTGACACTGCTAAACGTCGACGTAGAGTATATTGCAACGGGGGAACCCATGGACAAGGCTGGGTCGTACGGTCTCCAAGGCCGCGCCAAGGCGTTTGTGGCCTCCCTCGACGGATGTTCCAACAACGTGATTGGGTTCCCCGTCGACCGGTTCTGCGTTGAAATCGCTCGATTTCTCCATTAAACACGTCCATCGTTCCATTTACGAATCCAAGTTGAGGAGGAATGCCGCGCCATTCAAGACCCAGTGGTCGGGCTTTTCGGTCGTCGGCAGATACACCGCCACGACAAAGTTTGTCGACATGCCCGTCGTGCTCAGCGTTCCCTTGCGCACGGACGTCTTGTACACTGGGCACGGGTACTCGTCCTTGCGGCGGTCGATGTTGGCCTGGGGAAGGAAATGCACTACGCTCATTGGCTAAAATACCACGTCATCCACCAATCCCCGAAAAGGGTTCGTACACTAAACATTTCGCCGGGCCGCGCTTCTTCGAGCGTGACGCCATTCCACCGCGCTCCCTACGGACGCGTGAGCCATGCGCAACACGACGACGAGATGGCTCACTTCGAGCCACATGCCATCCACGTAAATCCCATCCGACGGTGACGACGTGATCGAGGCCGCCGTGCCCTCCAACACGGCAAACGTGAACCCGAGGCAATCGATCGCCGTTTGGTACTTGCGCGCAAAGTTTTGCAGCGTCCCGGTCATAAAGCCCTAGGAAACAACACACAATGATGCGATCTCTCGTCACCCTCGGACAAGAGCACGCGTACCTGTGGGAAGAAGAACGCAGGCAGGGGAAAGACGACGGGCTCCCCATGGACCAGCCACGTCCGAAAGAACGCGACGCGCGACAAGAGGTCCTCCACCCATGGCCCCAGTGCCTTGAGCGATGCAAAGCTCACGACTTCCCAGATCCCAGGCACACGGCCGTTCAGGAACGACGTGTACATGTTGTCCAGGTCGGACGACATGACGATTAGACCTTGGATGGCGCGCTGAATGTCCATCAAACTCACGCGCATTTTCGTGAGCAAGTGGTTAAACTTGACGAGCTCTTGTGAGAGAACGGTCGCTAACGAATCCATCACGACCGTCCCGAGAACTGTCCGCGTGCGGAACGTTGTCGGCCCCGCCTCGTCCAGCCTCAAGTTGTCTGGCAATTGCGACTGTGCACTATCGATCAATGCCACCGCCTCGCACGCAAACGGTGTACCAACCTGAATCGACGCCGCGAGCTCCAGCACCTTGTCGTCGTTGCTCTGTCCGCCAGACCCGCCTCCTGTGCATGCGTGAAGCAAGACCTCGCAACGAACGCAGTACCGTCGCGAGGCTCGAGGCTGAGCACGATGTGGATCATTTGCCAGCTTTCGTTGCGCTCGAACGTGACGTTGGCATTTTCGTGCATGCCAAAGATCTCGGGCGCGGCATGGACCGGGAGCGACTCAAAGTACGCCATCACACTCGCGTAATTGTGGGCCGTGATGGCATAGTACGTGCCGGACGACGAAAACGTGTAGCTGTCGTCGAGCACTTGGGGCGTGTAGAACCCGTTCAGGATGCTCATGAGGCACCGTCGGTCCCAGTCGTCGGTCACTCGGCCGCCATAGTTGATTTGCCCTTTGACAAACGCAGGTGAGGGCGCGCGGCGGGCCAAGCAAGCGCGCACCTGTTACGTAGCGAAGCGCGTCCCACGGAATCGTCGGCTGCTCGGTCAAGAACTTGCGAAGACACGCATACGACGTTTCGAGGTCCGTGTCGTTGAATTCGTACTTGATATTCCACCCAAGTGGCCCTACGGGAGCCGTCAACACCATGACGGTCCGAGCCACACGCACCAAATTTGCGGCGTTCTTGGATGATGGCATGGAAAAATACGAGGCTGCACAGGAGCTTTCGCCACACGGCTTGCTTGGTGAAGACGGCGCCGCCCTCGACAAACTCGCCACCTACCGCGTACTACGTGACGGCGATGCGCTGACGTCGACGATGCGTACCCGACTCGAACATGTCAAAGAACGCGCTGTCCGAGCTCAGGAGCGTCACAAACGACCGAATCAAGTTGGCGCGGATCCCTTTGGGCGGTTCGTTGGTGAGTTTGATTCCGTTTTGCAGCACCGTCACGGGAAAGTACGCGGCCGGGAACGACGTGAGAAACAGTCGGAACGAATCGACGACGGTCGCGTCGGCCGCAAGGTCGTCGACCTTTTTCTCGAGCGCTGGCATCCACGATTTCGCGAGGTGGCAGTTTTGCAGGAGCACCCAGTCGCCGTTCGTTTTCGACACCTACGCTCGTCGAGGAGTGAGCCCGCCGAGAAATACGATGTCGACCTCGATGAGCGCTTCCGCCCGCGGGCCCTGGCCTTGACCAAGCGAAATGAGATGCAGACGGTCGCTGAATTGCCGGTCCTTGGCAAATCGTAGCAGCATGCCCGTCGGATCGGCCCCCGCACTCAATACGAAAATGCACGGCGTCTTCCGGTCCGTGTCCTTGTAAATGTCGTCCATGCTGACGGTGCCGAGCTTTCCAAAGCCAGCGCCCATCTCCACGGTGAGCATGTGGAGCGTCACGCGCTGGACCTTTTCTTGGGCCAGTCCTGTCGAACCCACACCACGATGAGAAATATCGTTCAACACTGGCCCACCGACGACGACCTTTGATCAAGAGCACGGTTTGGAACGATGTCATGCGCGAGGCATACCCCTGCGGACACAGCTGTGCCTGCGGAGGGTCCCCTGACTGCAGCCACCCTTGCCACGCCTTCCATTCGTTTTGGAACGACGTGCTGAGCCCGTCGCATGCAGGACCGAGGGTTTCCAGCTCCAAGAGGAGCTGCCACTGGCCGTCCGAGATGCTGTCAGGTTGTGGGTTTGGCGCGCTCTACGTGGCAGAGTGAAACAGTGTCGGCACGTGACCCTACCTTTTTGGTCGAACTCGCCCCGCGCAGGAACAGCAACCACTCCCGCGGCGAGATCCGGCCGTCGTGCAGCATGATTTTGCAGCAAATCAGCACCGAAAACAGCACTTTGTGCACTTCAAACAGCCCGCGGCAAATGTTTGTGTAGATGTACGTTGTTTGAAACTCAATCAAGGCCCGCAATCGCGTCGCCAGAACCTGCTCGACCGCATGACGCGCTCAAACACTTCAACCAACTCACCGGGGACGACGGCGCCGCGTCAAAGCAAATGTTGAACAGGCGCTGGAAATACGGCAGCGAGTACTGATACATCGGGTCGATCATGGCGAGCTGGGCGACGACAAAGTACAAAATCGAGCCGCGGGTCGCGACGCTGCGGTATTCGTCCCTCGCGCGATTAATGTCGAGCTCGGTCGCTTCCGCTTCGTGCACTCGCTCCTGCGCACGTTGTCACACGATCGTCATGGCGTTCGCATGCACCTTGATGACTTTGGACGTTGCATTCGACGACGCGAGTGTTTCGATCAGCCCTTCGTCGTCGAGGACGTTCCCGGACGACTCGGACAACTTTTGCAAAATCCGGTCCTCAATGTCCTGGAGCTGCTTCTTGTCCTGGGCCATCGTGACCACGAGGCGGTTCTTCTTTTCTTCCATGTCTGGCCGCTCGTGCTTGACCTGGTCAACGTCAAGAAAAGATATCGTCCAACTAAAGAGGCGGCGCGCACCACATCCCCCAGGAGCTGGTCCTCGAGCCCCGTCATGGTCACGGTAAAGTTGATGATGGTCACTTTGATGTACACTTCAGGGAGGTAGTGCGGGTTGGCACACTTGGTCGTGATCCACAGCTTGAACGCTGGGTCGTAATCGACGTCCGCGTCGCCCAAGTGAATGAGGACGCGGCCGCCCTGCTTGAAAATCGCTTTTTGCAATATCGGTTCCAGCGCCGGCTCTAAACTCTCTTCAATGTCTTCGATCAAGAGCGACTTGCCGTTCTACGGTCGCCACCATCATCATCATCCACACGACGACGGCGGCGCTCGAGAACGAAGCGTACTCGAATGCAACTCTCCAAGCTCCGCAACAGGTTGGCGTGGGTCATTTTCGTCACGTCCGGCGCGACGGTGTTTTTGATCCATTTGTTGGCCTGGCCTTGCGGATCGATCATGAGCGGCCACCGCTCGCCCCGCGTCGCTAGAATCGCATTGTCCGTCGAGTTGCCGTCCGTGGGCAGGCCATTCAATTGCCACTCGCGGATCTCGACCGGACTGCCCAGCGTCGTCGCCAGCGAGTATTTTGCTCGCGAGCACGGGATCTCGAGCTCTTCGACTTTGTCGCGCCAGCAGTCGACCATTTGCTGCCGGAACGCGCCCGTGAACGCGCCGTAGTACGAAATACTGGCGGCTGCCAAGAACGTGTCCCCCACCTAGACCGAAACCTCGTTCACCCCGACCTCCCCCCGCGACTCGACATGCTTACCATGGCCAAAATGCCGTCGCCCAGCGACGCCACACTCTCCTTCCAGCGCTTGCCTTCGACGCTGAGGCCCGAAATGAGCTTCTCGGCGCGAATGAGCCGCTTCTCCGTCGTGCTCGCTTCCTTGGCCAGTGCGTCCTTTTCATCCAACGTGTCGTTGCACTGCTTCTCCAACAGCATGACCTTTTCGTTGACGATGCGCAGCTCGTCCTGCTTGGTCTTGAGGACGGCGTTGGCCGCTTGGAGCTTTTCGTTCATCGCGTCCAAGTTGGCTTTCTTTGGACCGACTTCTTTTGCGACCTTGGAGTACACGTCCATCGCGTGCGCCCACATGCACAGCGACGTTGCGGCCTTGCTGACTTTGCTCACGACTTCCACAGCCATGCCTGGCTCGCTGACGCACTTGCTGAGCTTCTTGAGCAGCGGCGCCGGGATGTTGTCCTTGTCGTAGTTCATCAAACGCTCGATGAACGCCGAATCGTTCAAGACTTTTTTGGCCGCGTCCCACGTCTGCTTTTCGCCCAGAAGCAAGCACACGCAACTCATGACGGTCTCGACCGCCTCGGGCGGCTTGGTAAACGATTTGACTTCGGTGATGTCGCTCTTGCTGAGGGAATGGAGTGCGTTCTGCGCGTTGTGGAGGGCTGGCATGGCAATGTCCAAGTCCTTTTGCGCATCCGCTTGCAAGATGGCCACTTCTTCGGCTTGTTTGCCGACCACCTACGCATTCGACGCTGACGTGTCGATCGGGGTTTGCGCGCCCTACCGCTTCGTCTTTGGACACTCGCATGCGCACGTCGGCGGCAGCTTGTTGGTCGATCGAGACCTGTTTCAGCAGCACTTCGGCCTCACGCGCCTTTTGGGTCAGGATCGGCTGCAGCTTGATCAGCTCGCTCTTTAAGCTGTCGACAATCGCGTTGGTTTCGTCGAGCTTCTTGACTCCAATCTAACGCACCAACGTGTTCACCGCACACCTCGACAACGGTCGTACCTCCATGCGGGACTTGATGTGCTGGAGCTCGGTCTGTTTGATTTGGAGCATCTTGACGTAGAGCTGGATCAAGTCGAGGTAGCTCTTGGGGGTCGTGTACACGTGGCGCTGCAGCTGGCTCTGAAATGCCGCCGCAAACTCGTTCGACGTGGTGTGCACGATGCTGCACATGCCGATCAACGACGCGCGCATGTCCTCGGACGGGAGATGCACATGGGCGAGAAAACGCGTGGCGACGCTCTCGAGCGCCTCCTTGGGCCAATTCATGTACCTACATATATCTTGTGGGGTCGAGTCGATCCACAACGTGGGCGTACCAGTCGATCGTGCAGCAGTTGATCAGCGACGGGAACGCGCGGCACCGGACGCGCAATGCGCTGCCCACGGGGGACATGCATAGCACGATGTGCAGAAAGTTGCGCACGCGGTAGACAAACGTGGCAATGCACTGGTCTCGCGTTTCGGCGAGCCCGAGGCTCTTGACCACGGGCCGCATGTCGCCCACAATGCGCTCGATTTCGTCCGACGCAAACAAGTTGGGCACTTCGCCACTGCGCAAAGACGATTACACAACGTCGTCAATCGGCATCGTCGGCACCTGTTCAGGATGTTGTTGATGTCTTCCAGGAACGATTCGTCGACGATCTGGCTGTCGGTAAAGAGAAAGACGGTCGGGACGCCGTGCACGCCCGCCTTGACCAGAAGGGTTTTCAAATCTTCGTGAAAGTCCACGGCGCTGTAGCCTCTTGTAATTTCAATCTGGTGGCACGCCGCGTCTTGCGCAAATGCCGCCAGACTACGCACCGTCCAACGAGTCGATCGCATGACGACCTGTCCACGTACCGAGCTAGACTTTGCTTGCCACTGCCGCCGACACCAATGAGCATGGCATTCCCGCGGGGCTGGCGAAGGACGCGCGTGAGGCGCAGGAGGTGGCCGATCGCGTCCCGGAAAAACACCAGGTTCATCTTGTTGGAGAAGCGCATGTTGTAGTCATCGTTGGCGCTCTCGAGGACCTTTACGACCTTGTGCGCGTCTTCGCATATCTCGTAGAGCGGATTCGGGACGCCGGGGCGGAAAATATCGCCAAACACGAGCGGGCATGGCGCGTGAAAGAGCGATTCCTTGGTCCACTTGACCTGGCAGTGCGCGCTGAGGAGGTGCAAGACGACGTCTTCGAACCACGCGTTGTCTTGAGCCGTGTTGAGGCGATCGCCAAACACCCGGCACGCCTCGTGGACCCACAGCTTGTGGATTGTGTTGACGTCGGTGCACTTGGCTGGTGTAATCATGAGGATGCCCTGGAACACCTTGGACACGTCGCGCAGGTTGAACGTGTAGTGAAACTTGCTTGGCGTCGGGAGGAGCTCGCTGCACACTCGGTTGTACACTTCAATCACACACGCGATGATGCTGCCGCGGACGGCCTTGACCGGGGCGGCGAATCGCTCGAGGAAGCCACCCAAGATGCTGGAAAAGATCAACTCGAGACTCGCGTCGCGAGCAGGGTGCACGCACAGCACGTGAAAATGCCGGACAAAGCGAGGCGTGCAGTGCGATCGTCCGCCGCCCGCTGGCGCGGCCGCGCACACGACGGACGTGTCGGCAATATCTTTCCAGAACAGCTTGTCTCGGTCGTAGAACCCGCGATAGTCGAGGAATTGACGGAGGAGTTCGATCGGCGCCTGGGCGCCGTACACTTCGACGGCGGGCAAGTTGACGTCGTCGACAAACACGACCATGCGCTTGTTTGCGACGGGGCCGAGCAGATTCCTGCGCTTCTTCTCGAGCTTGCCCTCGATCGTTTGCTGCGTCACCAAGCTCGACGTTTGCGCCGAGAAACTCAACGTTGTGCTCATAAACCCTACACCGCCACACATTCAGCAACGTCCATCGAGCCACGGCGACCTGCGGAGGCCGCTTCCGTCGACGTCGTGAGCTCCCGAATCAAGTCCATGACAAGGACCGTCTTGCCCGTGCCCGTCACCCCCGTCACGTATGCCGGCGTGTTGGCCAGCGTCAGCGTCCGCAAGAGGTGCGTGTACCGAATCGAGTCGGCAGTCGCAACAATCATGTCAAAGTACGGCATCCTGGAGCGCCGACGCGTCAGGCGCGACCTGCGAGAGCCACGTACGCTGCATTGTAGGTGAAACCCGGCACGATGTCGCTCCACGGCGCAAACCGCTTGGACGTAAAGTCGACGTAGTAGTCGAACACAACGCCTTGCGTCGGCATTTGAACAGTCGGCCCTGGCACGCGCGTCAGAGAGCACGGTGGCGAGTGGACAGCGCACCGTGGGGTTCGAGCAACTGGCGCAAGAACGCGTCAAACGCGTCCACGGACGTGTGGCTCATGGACGCGCCCAACGACCACACGACCGAAAACACGACCAATTTGTCGACCACGTCGAGTTGCTCGGCCGGCGAGTACGCAAACGCGTTCGAGTGCACGACGCATTGGTCGAGCAGCGACTGGACGAGCTTGCAGCAGTGCGTGACGAGGCTCATGTCGACGGTCGGGACGGGCTCGACCGCAAACGCCCGGACAAACTCGAGAACTTTCTCGGCGACGGGATGGAGGAACGTGTGGACGCGCGTGAGCCAGTCGGACGGGAACGTCCCGACTAGAGTTGCCAGCCACGTCTGGATGTACGGGCGCCACCCCACATCGGTGGACGTCATGTACACAACCCCGATGCGGCTGACCTAACACGACCATGACGAACGTGCGGCGGCGGGGATGCTTTACCGTCGCGGGAGACGCGGCGCAGAGGTCCATCACTTCAAACAACATGCGCATCTCCGACTTGAGCTTGATCCGCTCGCCGTTGGCCAGACACAATGTCATATTGTCGTCCAGGACTGTGTTCATGTTTTCGATCCACAGCGCGTCGATCGGGCCATCGAACACGGTCCATTTGAAATCTACCACACACATATCACGGCATGCCGATGACGGACGTGCATATACCAGGCGAGTCGTCGACGACGGCTTCCCGCATAATCATCGACCCGAGGCCGTCATGCCACTCCTGCGTGAGCTCGTTGAATTCGCCGTAGAGCTCGCCCATCGTGATGCATTTTGGATTGAGCACGCGGGTGTGGACGACTTGAAAGAGCGAGTTGGTCGACCCGGTCTCGCGCAGGGCGGTCATGGTGCGCTGCAGCATGCGGTAGCAGGTCGACTTGCCAGCGCCCGTCGGCCCGACCAACGTGCCTGCGCCGACGATCAAAACACGATGCGCCGCTCGCGAATTGTACCTCCAAATCGGACGTTGAACGTGTCAAACAGTTGAATGATCTTGGTCACGAACGTCGGCACGTTTTGCAGGTTGGCCTTGGCGATCTCGAGCTCGAGCGTCACGAGGAGCTCTCCGTAGTCGTTGGACGGAATCGCAATGCCAGGAAAGAGATCGTACACAATCGCTTGGAAGAGCGGCAGGTCGTCGCTGAGGAACTTCGGCACGTTCGAGTCCCGGAGCGCTCGAATCAACGTGACGTCTTCTGTGAGTGTCGGGTTGGCTCGCTTGAGCGACCCCGCCATGACCAACACAGATTTGACGGCGCGCAAGCCGTAGTCGTAGTGCGGCTGCTGGCTGAGCTGCTCGCTGCACAGAATGTACAGTTTGCACATCTTACGGCTGAGCGTCTTAGCGTCCGAGAACCCTTCGGCGAACAGCATGATCTCGGCGATCAAGGCGTAGTCGGGGACCATCATCGAGACGGGCCGGAAGCACACTTTGAGGTTGTCTGGGAGCTCCGTGCGACCGGCGTACCCTGGGTTCATGGTCACAATCACGTGGTGGTCCTTGAGCAAAATCTCGACTCCCATAAAGTTGATGTGCTCCTTTTCTTGGACGCGGCCTACGACGACACATGACGCCGCGTGCGCACCACGCGATCCATCACCTTCGCGCAGAGTGAGGAGCTGCTGCGCGACCACACTCAGGACTTCAATGTCAATGCGGTTAAACTCGTCGAGACACGTCCAGTTGCCTGCTTGCGCCAGCCCCCGGAACAATTTGCCCATCATTTTGTAGTCGATTTGGTCCGAGCAGTTGAATACAACACACTGAATCGCCATCGCCTTGGCCAGGTCCTTACTGCTCTCGGTTTTGCCTAGATCCAGTGAGAATCCCGACGGGTCCCCTGCGCACGAACCAACCTGTTCCGGCAGGGCCCGCTGGCGCCGCGCCAAGCTTGAGTCCGTACGCCCCGGTCAGCGTCATCCAACACCGGTCCGTCAGCGGCGTAATAACCAGGCGAGACGTTGCGCCCATGTACTCGTAGCCGTACTGAATGACCGAATCCGAGTGCTTGATCAAGACATCGTCCACGTCAGGGTCCCAGTAGTACCGCAGCTGCTGCTGCCAAATGAAATTGCCCACGTTTGCCACGTTTTCCTTGCACAGGCACTCGACTGGGCAAGTCAGCCATGTCGATACGAGCGACACGTACCAATATCCCGTGCGTGCACGTCCGTCGTGACCAGCGCCACGATGACCTTGCGCTCGAGCGACGTCAACTGGCCTCGAATCTTGACGATCAAGTCGTTGAGCTCCGATACGACCTGGCCAAGCCATTCTTGCATGCTCTGGGAATGCATCAGCACCATTTCCGTCTGGCGCGCCCACGTCATTTGAGCCACCGTCGCGACGACTTGGCCTGGTCGTTCTCCGACGTCAGAAGTAGATCGGGGAAGCTGTCGGCGTACCGGGATGCTCGCACACCCATTCCTTGCGCAGACGCGTGTCGTAATCGGCCAGCCCGACCTTCATGAGCTTATAAATCGACGCCTTCATGCTCACTTCAAGCGCCTTGAGCCAGTCCTCGACGTTGCCCTGCCACATCACTCAGTCGCGCACATATTGCATGTCGAGAGCGTACTCTGGCTTTGAGGTTCTTTCCGAGAGGGACGCGCTCCTTTTCGCTCGAAATCATTGCAAGCATGTCGACGCTGCCGTCGCCAAACTCGAGCTGGACGAGGTTTTCAAAGCACTTGCGCAAATGCGGCTGCACCGCGTGGGGGTTCTTGCTCTGCGCCAGGATCTCGAGCAACTCGTCGTTACTTAAAAAGTAGAAGCGCGGAAATGCCATCCGCTTGGTCTCGAGGTAGTCTTCCAGGCTCTTTTGGATCTTGTCCAAGTTCATGTTATGCTGCGCGAGGGTTTCCTTGATCCCTGGGAACGACCCGGCCGCGATCGCAAGGGGCGCGTCGTTCGTTCGTTTCATGATCGCCTTCCACGACAAGTCGACATGGGCAAACACTTTGGACGCGTCCGGCAGCTGCCGCTGAATGTCGGGCGCGCTAAAGATGTTTTCGATGTACATCCAATTCTTTTGCACGAGCAGCCACTCGTCCAGCGTTTCTTGGAGCCCCACGAGCTTTTTGCGCCACATGTCGACCTCGTCGCGGATCGCCCCGATGAAGCGCGAGCCCAAGATCGTATTGATCGTGACGATCGAGTCGTCGAGCGCGGCGAGAACTTCGTCGACGGCCCCGAGCACAAACACATCCTTCGAGTCCTTGTACGGCTTGACCTCGAGCTCCAGTTTTTGCCACACCGCGACAACCTTGTGGAGCATGGCCTCGAGGACAGACTCCTGCTGCGCCGCCACCGAGACGACCGAGATGGCTTCGCCATGCTTCATCGCTTGCCGCTCCATGAGCGTCCCCAGCGTAAGATTCGCATCTCCTTTGACCGTGAATCCCAAAATCGTGTGGATTTGATTCCAGTGGCGCTCCTGCAGAAACGTGCCGCGAAGGTCGTTGACGACGGGCAGGACCAGCTTGAACTGCTCGACTTGGCCGACGAGGACCGCCGCGACTTCGTTCTGAGGGAGCGCGCGCTGGGCTTGGGACGCCAACTTCATGTACGACTGCACTTGGCTTCCCATCGTGTTGACATCGATCTGGTCGAAACGAGTCTCGTTGTACATGACGGTGCACTTTTCCCACTCTCCTAGTGCCGTCCATAGCTTGGTCTTGAGCGCCACGTCATCGACAACTTCCTGGACGTCGGTGAACTCGGACAATGGCTGCTTGAGCTGCGCCTGGTACTCCTTGAGCCGGTTGGCCTCGGCCACGAGCTGGTTCACGACCTGTTGCTGCTCGTGGAGGTACACCATGGCGTCTGCAATCGGCGTTTGCATCGTTTCGAGCTTGGGGTGTTGCAGCTTGGCTTGCAAATGGAGCACGTTCTTCGTCAATGGCGGCAGCATGTCGTTGATGAGCTGCGTGAATCGCGCTGTTTCGGCGTCCAAGTCCGTGTCGAACCTGGTCAACGTTCCTTCCAGCGAAATCACGCCTTCTTTCATCAAGATGATGCTTTCCTTGATGTCGTCCGGCACGCGCCACTCGTAGTTGTCCATCAAGCACGCCATGTCGTACACCCGACGGTACTGGAGCTTGAGGTCGGGGAGGGTCTTCCCGAGCTTTTCCATGTGCACGACCTTCGCGACAAACTTGTCTGGGGTGGTCGGGACCGAAAACGCCACGGGGGACAGCTCGGTCAAGACGTCAAGGATCCCTTGGGCCTGTTCCTTCATCAGGTTTGGTAGCAGCGTCTTGATGCATACGATGCACTGCTGCGGCGTCGGGAGCAGCTTTTGCTTGAACTTGTCGCTGTCGACGCGAAACACCCCGACGACCGCCGTCGACGGAATGTGAACAAACGTCTTCATTTGGCCTTCAAACACGGCGATTTCGTCGCTGAATTGGTCAATCGACGCATCGTGGAATCGCTCGGGGTGCGCCATCATGTCCATGTCCTGCAAATACACGTCGAAATACGGATGGAATATGTCGAGGTATGCATCCACAGCCTCAAACGCGTCATCGAGAGCGGCAAAAATGTCCGTCGACACCGTGTTGAACTCGGCGTCGTCGTTTAGAAGTGTGGCAAGGTTCAGGCTCATGATGCTCCAGCTCGTCTTGCCCTCATCTTCGGCCGTGGCTGAAGTGTACCCGAGCAGCTTGGGATGGCCGAGGAGGCGCTCGGGGACTTCGGTCACCGTCAAGCATTGCTTCAAGATGACTTCAAAGCTACGGCGCCACATGTCAACATTTGGCGTTGGCGCAATCGAGGTCGTCGACGTGTGCGAGTTGCTGACTTCGACGAGGACTGAAAACAACGGCAGCGCACTCTGGCGGCACTGTGTCAGGAATGTCTGGAACGACGTGATGCTGAGCTGCATCATGGCGTCGATGACGAGCACGTCTGCGAGTCGGAGAAAATTGGTGAGGCTCCGGCACTCTTTTCGCAACGCAGCGCGCTCCATAAACGTCATTTTGTGTTCGGCGACGATCTTGTTTTTCTCGAGAAACGTGTCTACGACGCCATCGCACGCAGACACACACAGCTCGACGACTTGGTTGGAAAACGTCGCAAGAGAAGCGGAGAGGTCCACAATCGCTTGGGCTTGCTCGTCTTCGAGCTGGGAGAGCGTGTAGGTCTTTTTTGGCGCAAGGCGGAGCAGGGACAGATGGCTCACCTAAACAGGATGAGAGCCGTGGAGGCGGGCGTCCACGTACCGATAGAGTAAGGGCCCGCAGGCGGAGGAGCGTGTCCTGGAGCTGCGGATGGAGCAGAAAGAGCTGTGTGTTGAGGATCTTCTTGGCGTGCTGCATCTTGGCAAGGTGAATGTTTTGCTTCCACACGTTGTAGTTTTTCCAGACCCGGTACTTTTGAAAAAATGGGATCTGGCGCATCGCGGTAAACCGCTGGTACTCGAGCTCCCACTTGTCGAGGGCGCAAAAGTCGGACGAGTCGTGTGTAAAGTGCGTAATGCCTGCCTTGCTCATCGTGTAGTAGTTGGACGGGTTCGTCGCGTAGTGCTCGACAACTTCGAGGTCGTACACAACTTGATCCGAGTGGGGTTTTCGCTGCAAGTACAAAAAGTTGCCGTTTTCAAACTCCCCAAGGTATCGAGCATCGAGGTTCAGCGATGCCGTGAATGTGTTCTTGGCAGCAGATCGAGATGGCGCCTGTTCTCCCCAGCACTCGTCGACGACGGACGGGGGGGTCATGACAGCAAGTGCGCGAGGCGACGGCTGCAGCGGCGGAAGGACAGGAGTGCTTGCAGTCGGCTTTATCTTGGGGTTCACGAGTTGTTTGGGCAATCGCGCCACGGACACGGACGCACTGAGGAGTTTCTTGGGTCGGGGTACCAGTACAGATTGGGAATCGATGCTGGCGTTCGTGCGTTTGTTGCTCGGTTGATAGATTCGTTGCTTGAGCAATGCATTTGTCTGCGACTGGTCCACAGAGAACGGATCGACGGGAGCCTTGCGCCGCGCGCCGCTCCGATCCTCCATGGTACCGCGATCTGTCGAAACTGGCGACGCTTCAACCGGTGTTCGCCGTTTCAAATCGGGCGCTTTCCAGTGACCCAGATTCGGTCGTGTGACTCAAAATTACCGGAGGATCAACACAGTATCAATACGTGGATTAACACTCAGGTTTGGTTCGAGTGACACGTGCCAAACTTCTCACGTCTGGAAGGGCAGCGTCGAAAAGTTGCCTTCGAGTCCAGGCCATCCGTCGACGCCGCCGTTCCCGATGCCCGACACTTGGATGTAGTACGTTCGATTTGGCTGGAGGTTGTCCACGGTGGCCCAAAGTCGATGGGTTCGTGCCACTTGCACGCCGTTCAGCATGAGCGCGTACCCAACCACGTTGTCCAGTGGCTCCCACGTCACGTTGGCCGACGTCGCCGTCGCGTTCACTGCCTCTGGAGGGACATCGCCCGAGTCGATTTGGTACTTTGGGGCTACACGGGATCACATGAGTCGCTCCACGAGGTCGTGAGTCGTACGTAAAATGTCCAGGTACGTCGGCCAGCCCCACGCAGCGTAGCCTTGAATAAACAGTCCGAGGCCGACTGCTTGAATGAAGTAGGCAGGCCACTTGGGAACGCGCGTGAGGGGGAGCACCGTAAGGCCGACCATGACGTGGTGCAAGTGAAAGATCGTGGACGGGAAGAAAGCGTACACGACAGCGCAGTACAAGGCGAGCGTGGCGTAGCCGACCAGTGTGCGGATCAAGTGCTTTTGCCGGTGCAAGTGGACGACGAGGTAGATCGTCGCGGCCAAAAGCAGCACGCCGCCGCCGATCAGCACAACGTACGCGCTGGTGTCGGTCACTTTGTTGTACTTGTAGCCTCCGAGGTCGATGTTAAGCCACGGGATGTAGGCGAAAAACGTCAAGTGGAGGAGGACGTGGAACGGAACGACGTAGCACAGGCCCCACACCAGAGCTTGGACCTAAACACACGACGAGCTCAAGACGTTCCAAGGGAAATACAATCGAACCGGCTTGGACGACGTGCGAAAGGTTTGGAAAGTGTGCTGGATGACCCAATGAAACCAGCACTGCACCGCAGCGACCACGATAAACACCTGGGTGGAGAGACGCACAAGGATGACTTTGTAGTCGTAGCCTAAGTCAAAGAAACATGAGCGTTCGTGCATGGCTCGGAACGATTTACCGTCGGGGGCGGCAATGACCGCCACATAAAAAAATCCCCAAACGCACAACGTGTGCACCATCGCGACAGGGGGCATTGGAAGAAAGACGAGGCCAAAGCATGCCGCGAAACCCACGCCGAGGATGCCCCAGCTCAAGTCGGTACAGTAGCTTGACGACGCGGTCGGCTTGAACTCGAACGTCTTGGGAAACCACGAGTCAAATGATGTCGACGTCACTCCATTCGCTGTGGAGCCTTCGAAGGAATTGCGACTACCTGGGACACAAGTGAGCGACGAACGACGAATGGGATACAGGTGCACCCGAGTACTTCATCATGGCACAGCCGCCGTTGGTGCCGATGACGCCTGCGTGAATGGCCGCGCGGCAGATACGCGAGTCGCCTCTACCAGGTCGACAGTGGCAACGAGACTCGAACGATGAGTGAAATCTTACTTATACACACCAGTTCCGATGACTTCCAGCACTGATGACCCATCTACAGAGCCGTCGTTGGATGGAATGGTCAAGCCAACGAACGTACCCCACAGGCAACGTGTTGGACACCGGATCGGTTTCCAGTCCGATTCGAACGGCTGGCAATCGATCCCGTTGAGACCACATGTCGGACCCGTCCAATACCCAAAGTAACGACACCCCAACATAGTTGGCGCCTTGCCGTCGACTGTTGCAGCGAAGAAGCTCAAGTACGTCATGGTAGCGAGTGTGGTGAACGCTATCACAGTGTACCCCAGCAGAGGCAGCCAGGGACGAAGGCGTTGTCTCCATTTGGGGTTCTCAGCCTCTTTTACCTGTTCTTCTACACCTGTCCGCTTTGGGCTCAGCACAACCTGCGCATTGTCGTCCTCGTCCAGGAGGCGGAACGCCGGCCGCTGGAACATCGCGGTAATCAAATGTGTTGCATGCTCGTGGGTTTCGTAACAAATGTCCGGATAAATCAATCTATCCGGTTTCCACGAGGATGTTCGAATTCCTTTTCTTTTTCGATATATTATTGAATTTAGAGGTTTGTTCGTTTCTGCGATGTTTCGATCTTCAGTCGGGAAGAAGGTCGCGCGATGGTCAAGGACAGCTTTGTGTCGACCAAGTCCAAGGACCCGCTCAACAGCTCATGGCGCAAGCACATGCCTGACGGAGAATGGATCCCCGACGTGTCGGTCTTGGCCTGCATGGCATGCAAGGGAGAGTTCAGCTTCTGGAATCGCAAACACCATTGCCGACGTTGTGGTGCTGTTGTGTGTGACTCGTGCTCGACAAGCCGCACAAAGCACATTTACCGCGACATGGCTGCCACTTGCGACGAAAACATGCGCGTCTGCGATCCGTGCATCCAAGTCATTGACGAGTACATTGCTTCAGGGCTCACGAAACGATTTGGGGGCCAAGTTCCCGTGGACAACAACGCCATCGAAGAAGACGCGAACCCAAACGCGTACTTTACACCCCAGAAAGTTGAACGCAATGGCCGTGCAGTCATGACCATGGGAAGATACAGGTACACCCACTTTAGGCCTCTCCTCGATGCAGTCTCATGGGGTTGTAGAGCTGAGATCAAGGAAAGCGAAGGGAACCGGTACATCCGCGACAACGATTTGTGATAATGGAGTGATGTTCCATGTATTTGCGAGTTCGAATAGCTATCGCGTGATCCGTGCGTCTTCAGTCCAGCCAAGGAGGTTGGCGGCGAGTGTCCGTGAGAAACGTGACTACTTTCGAGATTGCTGCCTTGTCTCGGGAAGAATTGCGATTCTACCAATTCTAGCCGAGAACATCTTGTTCCCATCACGCAGCACACAGACATGCACGAAGCATTGCAATAAGCAAAGATCATTTAGCTCCTTACGGCCGACCCATCAACCTAATGCACGAGGTCGTAGTCGCGAAGTCGGCGCTTGCGGAACACAACGAATGCCACCGCAGCAGAGACGCCCAAGATGGACAGGACGAACGACGTCGGGAGCAACGAAGATGTCGCCATCGAGTTCAACGGCACTACGGGCTTGGAAAGGTCCACGGTGACCCACCCGAGGAGATGCTCATCGTTGTACCACTTCTCGACAAAGTAGGACGACGAGTTCTGCTTTACCTTGAGCCGGCGCGAGTACAATTGACCCGTGGGCCAAATCGTGTCCTCAACGTTCTGCTCGACAATGTCCACGTACGAGTCGGTCACGTCCACGACGACAGCCACGTGCCCCGTGATAGCCATTTCGCCAGTGGGGTCCCAAATCAAGAGGGAGCCGCGCTCGGGACGCATGGACCCACCGTTCACAAACTTGTTCAAGGCAAACTTGGACCCATCCGAGACTTTGTCGACCGTGTCGAGGTCAAAGATTTGGAACGCGTAGTCGACGTCCCCAAATACAACACCATAATTTACAAGGAGATAGCGGCGGGCCAATTCCACGCATTGCCATTGCACCCCAGTGTACGTGCCATTGACGTAGTTGCTAGCTTGGTCGAGCGCTTCTTGACCGGGATCCAAGTGGCACGAATAGACTTCGACATTTCCGTCAGTGACACCGAGGATGGTGCCAAAAGGAGCCCAGTGCAATGAAGCAACGGCGCAGATGGCCACGGAGAGGAAGACGAGGAAGGCGGACCTGCGGCGACCCATCGTGACAATGTCGATTCGCAATTGGGAATTGAGAAGAATCGAGGCGATCAAATGAACGAACTTTATTGGCTGAAAATATAGCCAATCCAATGCCTGGAATCAATGGATTCATCCGTACATCTTTCAAATCCACGTTTTAAAGCCATGAAGTGATTGATCTTGGAATAAGTATGGGCGAGTCCACGCGCACAATTAAAAAGTCGATAAAAACAACGTTTCGGGGTTTCGGGGTTTGCGATTTAAGTTTCGAGGTCACGTCGAACTGAAGACATGCCGACTAGTCGACGTGCGACTTCTGGGCGCTCAGGATGCATGCATGTCTTGCCCATGGCGCTCTAGGCATTGGTGCTGCTTATAGAACGACGCCATATCCCAACAAGCCATTGAAAGCGACACAAAGCGACAGGGGTGTATTGGCATGACCCCACCCGAATCTACCTTCTTCACATCCACTCGACATAGAGCTACACTTGCCGTGTTATGGGGCACCCGAGTGCACTTGGCACACCCATCGGCTGTATCCCGATGCAAATTGGACTTGACGTAGCCCACCGACATGGGCGCGGTTCCAGTCAAAGCCCATTCGTGCCAACACTTGCTTCATCTTTGGAAGAGCCATAGATCGGTACACCAACAACGCGTCCTGCAATTTCCTCGCTTCGTCTGCCAACTCCACGTCATCCAAGTCTTCAGTCTCGAGTCGATGGACAATCTCTTCGAACGCCGCGTCCGTGTCGAAGCGCGGGGGACGTCCATGGATCGATTCCAACGCCCTCGCGATTTTGGCCACGTGCTGGGTATCCTTCAAATCAAACTGAAACCCATCCAACGACACACCCAACAGAGCCGCCACACATAACGCCTTCCGCGCCAGATAGCTTGCGTTCAAAATGGGCAACATCTCCCGGATCGCGACCGACGCACCCACCTCTCGCAACGACGCATCGTTTCGTGCATCCGCATCGTTCTGGGGCTCAAACCTGCCGCACGATGACGCACACCACTCGCACTGAAACACAAGTTGAAATCGCATTCGCTCAAGCTTCGACGGGTCGCATTTCCCCAGCTTCTCCGCGGCGTCCAGCGACCACAACATGGGCAATTCCCACGGCTCTGGGACGGCAAATTCCGTCATGGCGAGGTTTCGAGGTTCGCAAGTACTATGGTGCGGCGCGTGGCGATGGCACTTCCACGTGACGTCGTTCGTGCCCGAAAGGCTGCGCCATCCGCCGATGAGAGTTGGTTTGGAGAGTGCGTTGAGACTGGCCATCGACTTGAAAATCTCGGCCACACGAGCTGACGTGTCGTTGCTCGAGACAAAGGCCGACATGCCCTGCGCTAACACTGTGTCCAGTATTTCGTCGACTTCGTCTCGGGGGACTTTGGTTTGAGTCAATCGGGCGTGGAGGGTGCGGAGGGTCCCTTCGCACGGCAGCATCGCCGTCATGGGATGGATCGACTCGAGGGACGCGACGGTCGCGTCCAGTTTGTCGGCATCAGGATAGGCAAACCTGAAATGGGCCACGTCCGTGCCGTAGTAGTCTTCCAACGTGTCCAAAATGCCCGAGAAAAGGCCATAAGCGCGCACGAACGGCAGCACTAGAGCGACCACGTCCGACTCGGCCAACACCGTCACGATATCGCTTTCGTCGCACGTGCACTCGGCAGTCGGCGCGTTGAGGACTCCGATGCGGCAGTCCAGGCCTCGAAGAAAGTCGCCGAGCGGGATGCGGGCCTTGTCCGTCATGACAGACAGCGTCCAAAGCAGTGGCAGCGGACACGATAGTTGGTCGATGGGCGACGGCGGTGCAGGCGCCATGCCGTGAGTTGTCGATTTGGTTTCGAGCGCCTTGAGCAAATCGCGCAAGTTGCCCGTTCGCTTGGACTCGTCTGGCTCCAAGCACATGAGCAAGTACTTCTTTTGGCGGTTGTTCAACGCAGCCACTTTGGCCAGACTCTGGCGGAACGAAAACCCCGGCGCCGCGACCAGTTTATACACGGCGTCGCCTTCGACCCCGTCAAATTCATCCAAGTGGCCACCATCCAGAAACAGACGAAGCACCAGCACACCAAAGCACCACACGTCAAACTTGGGCGACGCTGCGATCGTCGACGCTTGACCCTGCAGCATGCATCGCGCCATTTCCGGCGGACAGTACTCGGGGGTGCAATGCCGAATGCGCGACCCAAACGGCACCGTGTGGTCAAAATCGATCAGTTTGTACCAAATGCGATCGCTAAAGTACACGACATTTTCGAGCTTGATGTCACCATGGATGAGTCGTTGGCCGTGCAAAAAGAGGACAGCTCGCGCGAGCTTCTCGATGCAATTCAGTCGCAGGAACGGCTGCTGTTGAAGCATGTGGACGTGGTCCAAGTCCAACGCCAGCCCTTGCTCCATCACGACCGCAAAACACTTGGCCTTCCCGGCTAGAGGCACGTCAATGATCTGGACGCAGTCGACAATGTAGAGCTCCGAGTCGTTGTCGTGCCCCATGCGCTCATAGAACTCGACTTCTCTCTGCTTGTCGGTGAGCTTGACCACAAGTTTCTTGGACTTCTTCCCACCACTTTCCGCTTTGAACACGCTATGGTTGCACTTGGTCAAGAGATCCGCGACCACGTTGTACGTATCCGACAGCCGATGCTTGCGAGGATTGCCTGCGACGCCGACAGCGTAAACGTCGAGGATATGCACATGCGCACGTACCTGGCGTCATGAGGTACGCTGTAAGCTCGTCCAGGGTTCCTTTGACAGGCAGGGCGAGGATGGTGTGATCCTGGGCAGCGCCACTCGTTTCGTCGCAGAATTGTTGGAGATACGCCAGGACGGGTTCGCACAGCGTTTTGTGCTGGTGGTATTGGCTCGGGTGGATTAGCACGTCTTGGATGATGCGCCGGGACTGTTCATCTTTGAGCAGCTTGAGCATCTCTGGGTCCTTGGCGAGTTTGACTGCTGCATTTGGCCCAAACACTTTGGCGAGTTGGATCGTTTCACGGACGTCGACCTTTCCGACCGCACAATCCACGTCCTTGGAATGGAGCTGCAGGCCTTTGTCAAACACAGCCAGGGCCAAATCGTACTCTTCGCAACGATGAAGCGCATCTCCCATCCATGCAAACGCAGACTTGGCACAGCCCGATGCGGCCATGGCGCGGCGGGCATACGCCTCCACCTGGTCGTATTCGCCCACACGAAGCGCCGCGAGCACAAAGTCCTATGTACACCCATGACACTCGTCGGTAGATGGGGCTGTGCCATTACCGGAATCTGGTCGTGTTTCTGAAACAACATGGAGGACGCCGACGTGGCTGCGTCTTTGTCGCGATCCCGCGATCGAAATCGCAGCGTGATGGGTTTGCGAGTGTCTTTGATCCACCTCAAGGTGCTCATGTACGACGATTCGTGGATAAACTTGCCGTTGATCGCGACAAGGACGTCGCCAACGCGCGAGTTGTCCACACCGACCGCGCTGCCTTTCCCCGTCAAGCGTGAGATCATCGGGACATCGTTTGCTGTTGGCCGCAGTTTAAGCCCGAGGTCGCCATCGTACCACACAATGTCGTACTCGGCGGCCACCCCGAGTGATGTCGGCGTAGCGACTGCGGCAGGCTCGTACTTGATGCGTGGCTCGCGCATGCTAACTCGCACGATTTCTTTTTCGCGAGACGACCGTTGAAACTTGAGAAGCGCGGGCTTTTCCATGCTTTTCAGCATGGAAATGGACCGGTTGAACCCGAGCGTCTTTGTCGTGGTGCCATTGATCTCGACCAATATGTCGTCCACACGGGCGTGCTTGATGCCATGGGACCCGAGCCCTTTACCCGTAATCTTGCGAATAGACGGAATGTCGTGGTCCAAGTCGGCATGGCGGAAGATCAAGCCAAGGGGTCCGTAGATCCACTCGACCACGTATGTGTCGCGCTTTGGACGGCCAGAGGATGACGAGACCAGCATCGCGTTGTCCGGCTGCTGGTTTGGTACGACTTCGCTGGGAGCGGACGACGAGCTTCCAGTAGATCGGCTGGTGGCGAGGGACTTTGGGACTCGAAAACGGAGGAGACACGGCCTTGGAACTGTCTTGAGCATGTGCACGACCGCGTCGTACCCCATTTTGGCTGTCTCTTCGCCGTTGATGCTTGTAAGCATGTGGCCGACGGCGACACCGCCATGTGCCGCTTCAGACTCTTCGCGGGTGAGCCTCCCCACGACGGGGGGCATGTCTTTGCCGAGCTCAGGCCGCAGCGTTAGGCCCAGGGAGCCTTCATTCCAAACTACATTGTACTCCATCCAGTGAACGAAAGTTTTGGCCAGCACGTACACAGGTCATCCCGTGCACATGGTCGTGTGTCCCCAAAAAGGTGATTTTCAGACAAAATAGTCCAATGTTGGCTCATTGAAAACCACAAAGCTGGTGGGGTGAATGACTCAAGTTAATCGGGCGATTTATATAATTTTCACAATATGCAAAAGTCTAATTTGTTGCAACGCGAATCATACCCAAGGTCATTCATTAGAGAGCATTCGGTCGGCTAAATTACAGATTCGATTCAAGATCCGAAACCTGAAGTTTAAACCTGAAATCACCATTTTTCGGTGTTGGTTTTTGGCTTCAGATTGAGCCAAAGTCTAAATAAAATCGTCTTTCGGGACCAACCAAACTTCAGGTTTCACTTCCAGAAAAAGCGCAGATAAACAAAGCGAGTGCTCAGTGCCACTCAATGCCGTCTCTATCGCCGACCTTGACCAAGCGCTCTACATTACTTCTCATTGCTCGTATCATGGAGCATGGTAATGGTGACATTGATGAGTTCATGTGCATTATGGACATTTTACTTCAACGCAACATCATTCGACCTAGACCAGAGCGACCATTGCTTTCGTACAACAACTCATTCAATCGATTGCTCGATAATGCGACGGCGATGCACAAGTACCGTTTCACCATACCGCAATTGGAAACCCTTTGCAACCTTTTCGGCCTCCCCGAGTGGATAACAACAGAGTGGTCCGATCGAATTGAGTCGCTTGAGGCACTTGCATTGACTTGCCGCCGTTTTGCTGAACCATCACGACTATTCACAGTGGCAAAAGAATTTCTGTCGAAGCGTGCAGTCGCGTGATATTGACAACTGTTCGCTTACTACATTCCAAGTTCGCGGACCGCTTGTACTTCGACGATGCTTTGATGACGCGGCGCTCAGGTATGTCTAACGAATAGCACCAATCTCATTTGTGTTAGCAATGTATGCCACTGCGATTCAAGCAAAATGCGGTATCAACGTCACGACATGTATTGGATTTATTGATGGAACAAAACAATATCTTTCACGACCAAGCGCAAGAACCGACGGAGAACCCAACGAGAATCTGCAGCGAGCTGTGTACAATGGTCACCCAAGGCGTCATTGCTTCAATTGGCAAGGTGGTGTGTGGCATCATAGTCAGCATGTTTGGCCCTGTGGAAGGACGCCGCCACGACTCTACGGTGCTGGCCATGAGTCGTTTGCTCGACAAGCTGCAGTCATGCTCCGTGTTGTCAAAGTATTGTCTGTACGGTGATCCTGCCTATGGATGCCGCCAATGCTTGTCGTGTCCCTTCCCAATGGCCGAACCCGGCTCCCCTGAAGCACAATTCAACTCAAGCATGAGCTCTGTACGAGAGTCGATCGAATGGACATTTCATATTGTGAAGAGCTTGTGGAGTTAAGTGAGTTACGACAAGAAGATGAAGGTTCGGCATTGCCCGGTTGGTATGTTTTGGCTCGTGGCTACCTTACTTACCAACTGTCATACTTGTATGAAGCCTCAAGGCAACCAAATCTCCATGTACTTTGGGTTGCGACCTCCAAGCATTGACGCGTACCTTTCCATGATCAGTTGACTTTGCTTCTTGAGTCCTAATTTTGTTTGTACAAAGTATTTTGAAGTGTACGTATACAAATTCTAAATGATACATTGGCTTCTTGCCCTATTTAGAAATGAATTACATTAAAATTACACATTTGACCTACACTCAGCGTGAACTTCATGTGATGTTTCCTTAACTTGAGCAAATTGACATAAATAAATTGTCCTGGTTTAACTTGTGAAATACCCTACATAAACAGTGCTGTAAGGATTCTTGACTTCTATTTCGGGATATATGTGAGTGATGATCGAAGCAGTATTTTTACTCAATACGTTAGCGATTGCGCTGACCAATTCCATCATCATGCGCTAATTAGCGTGGTGTTGTTCGGCACGAAGGGCAGCTTGTTTGCGATCAAACTCTAATCTTGCTGCTGTTTGCTCAGTAATGAGCTCTTCTCGGCGGCGCTTGTCATCAATTCCTGCTTGAATTGCATGAATGAGGTTGTTCATGTCGATCGATGTTGCAGTAGCTTTACGTTTCTCCCGTTTTTGT